CAGGTGGAAAGAATGAATCAGACTTTAAAAGCAATGATGACTAAAATGGCTCTGGAAACTGGTGAAAACTGGGTGAGTCTCCTTCCCTTTGCCCTTTTACGCATGCGTTGCACACCTTATGTTGCAGGGATCTCCCCTTTTGAGGTCATGTTCGGGAGCTCCCCCCCATTCCCAAAATTGCTGAAGAAAAATTAGCTGATTTGGCTAATCAGGACCTCATTAAGTCTCTCCAGGTTCTCCAGCCCATCCTGGCCTCCATCCATCAGCTATTCAAGCAACAGCATCCTCCGCCCCCTGCCTCCACCCAGGACGACCTCTTGACTGTGCAACCCGGGGAACTGGTGCTCATCAAAAGGCACCACCGAGAATCTCTTGAGCCACACTGGGAAGGTCCCTTCACGGTGGTCTTCAGTACTCTGACAGCGGTCATGGTCACCAGAAAGACTGCTTGGATTCATCATTCTCACATCAAACCAGTCCCGGCCCTGGACAAAGACCAAACTTCAGATAAGTGGACTGTGACCTCCTCTTCTGGAGACCCTTTAAAGCCTAAATTAACCAAATGTACTTGATTGTTCTGATCTTATGCATCCTCCCTCGTGGGGACACAAGTAAACTGTACCATGCCCCAATACATGGGACTTGGAAATTAACTGATTACAACACTGGGGAAGTATTGGCTTCCAACACCACTGTTCATGGGGAAATTAGGATAGATCTATGCCAATTGTTAAATATAAGTCCAAAAACCCACAGAATCTCCTGTATGCCAGGTGTTGGGGCCAATATCTGTGAAAACACACCCAACCAAAAGAAATTACAGCCTATTCCGTGGTATCTCTGCCCCCAACTCCAATATTATGGCGGAGTACCATACAGCTCTGGGACCCAATCCTGTGCATACTCGCAGGACACAGAGTTTTTCTGTCCATACTGGAGCTGTGTCACTATCTCCCATTGGAATGGAGGCAATGCAGATGAACACCTTCATCTTGCCCATAGTACTCCCAGTTCATGTGAACTTAATCAATGCAACCTGATGGGGGCTGGGGATTTAGCTCACCGGCAAAGCGCCTGCCTGGCAAGCGCAAGGTCGTGAGTTCGGTTCCTGGTACCGGAGGAAAAAAAAAAAAAAAAAACCTGATGACCTTTAAGGCAAAGATTCCCACCAGTACAACCTGGAAGCAAGGATTACATTATGGTATCAGACTCTGGACTTCACCTTGTTATAACCCTGGAAACTCTTCTACTATACAGTTCATTCCAGGGCCCCCACGCATAGCTCCTGCTCGCCCCATAGGACCCCTAGCTCCCTGTCCACCTCCACCCCACCGCACTCCCTCTTCTTCCCCTCCGTCCACTACACGCCCCCCTTCTCCTTCCTCTGAAACAGCTACATCCTGCACCCCCAGACCCTTTCTTGCCTCTAGATATTGCTTTCCAGTTCCTAAATTTCAGCTCCCCTAATCTTACTGTTGACTGCTGGCTATGTCTTCCGTCTCGTCCACCCTACTATATGGGCACTCCTGTGACAGCAAAACAGTTTTCTAACTCCTCCGCTGATGACCCCACTTGCTGGTGGGGTGCTAAGCCCCTACTCACCTTGGACAACGTCCAGGGCACACCCAGTACTTGCATCTACTCTGCCTCCTACATCTTGCGAACTTCGCCTTACGCTTCACTCTGTAACTTGACCTCTTCCATTCAGATTTCCAATTTTTCATACCCCGCTAATCAACATTTGGTTGCTCCAAATGGAACCTGGTTCGCCTGCACTTCGGGTATCACTCCGTGCTCTATGCATCATTTGTTTACTCAGCATCCTGAGCTTTGCGTCATAGTACAGTTTTCCTCAGGTCTATTGATATTCAGGAGAAAATTTAAAAAGCCATATTGTGTCCGGCTCAAGCCCCCAGGGACTTCACCTCCAAAAAAAAAAAAAACAACAAAACCCTGTGCTTATCCCCACCCTGCTAGGAATAGAGATAGCCGGATCCCTGGGATTGGGAGTATCCAGTCTAATCATTGAGGACCAAAATTACAGACACCTGAGCGCACTCACTGATCAAGATCTAGCTTTCCTCAGTGACTCAGTGTCTAAACTGGAGGACTCCCTTAGCTCCTTGGCAGAGATGGTACTACAGAACCGATGAGGCCTAGATTTGTTATTCTTAAAGGAAGGTGGCCTTTGTTTAGCTTTAGAAAAAACCTGTTGTTTATATGCCAACCACTCTAGAGTCATCCGACAAAATATGGCTAATCTCAAAAAGATTACAGAAAAAAAAACGAGCTAGACAAGCTGAATTAAACTGGTTCCAACCATGGTTCTCTTTCTACCCTTGGTTCACAACTCTGGTAACCGCTGCCGCTGGGCCTCTGTTGATTGTACTCGTTTGTGTAACCATTGGGCCACGTATCATTAACAAACTGTTAAATTACGTTAAAAACCGGGTACAAACTATTAAGCTAATGGTTCTGAGGACTCAAGGTTATAAACAAATTCCTCTGACTTAGTCTATGAGCCAAAGATTTGCCTCACTAACAAAAATCAGTGGGGAATGTTGTACCTTGACCAAAGCGCCACCATCCTGTTCTGTATGCACCATTTCCCTTCACCCTCAAGTCACCTATGGTACCCATAAAAATCCCCTGCTGCACTTCCCAGGCAATGCAAAACCACAAGAGCCAACTCGTTAACTCAATGTTCTTGTGAAAACATCAGTTCTGAGAACTATGACCACCAGATGTACATAACATCCTGCAAAAACAAGATCTGGCTACTGTATGTTCCACGTTCCCCCTCCCTACCCTTGGCGGTTTTTTCCTTTATAAGCCCCTCGCTGTTTCTCCTCAGGGCGCAGCAGTACAAAGTCCATCTGTACTCCGTGCCACTGGGTACCAGCTTAAATAAAGTGCTTCTTTTTGCAAAGAGACGTCTCATCCTTTTGGGGGGTCCTTTTTCCTTGGTAGAGTAGTCTATATTTGCATTTATTCACATCACCTATCCGGGCCATCTTTGCCCTCCTTTCCTCTTTCCTGTCTTATCATTTGTCTGTCTTCTGCCCAAGTAGTAGAAAATGCTCTCTGGTTACAAACTACGCTTTTACTTCTCTGAAAATGTCTTGATTTTTCTGTTTCTAAAAAGATGTTTTCACTGAGCAATAGAATTCTGAAATGGCAGCTCTTTTGTTAGCCCTTGAGGATGTCAGACTGTCCTTTGGATTTCTTCACTGCTATCAAAGTGCCTCTCCTCCAAAGGTAATGTTCCAGGGCCACCGCCTCACCTCCTGGCTGCTTATATTTGCCTTTGTCTTTACATTTCCTTCTTTTTTTTTCCCCCTTCCCAGCACCGGAGATTGAACCCTGGGCTTTTGCACAGTTACATCCCTAGCCCTCTTTATTTTTATTTATTTTTGAGATAGGACCTTACTTGTTGGGAGCAGCTGAAGCTGGAAATTCATTATATGTGTGAGGGCAGGACAGAGCCAGAGCGCCTCAGGCAGTCGAGCTACCTCAGTCTTGAGAAAGGTGTCCTGACAGGACCATTTCAGTCGTTAGTCACAGGCAATCTTGCCTGTCATGAGACTAACTTTGCAAGAGTACAAATAAACACCGCTACTCTTGTGCAGGTCCTCTTGCTCATCAGGTAAGAGGTCACCTCCGCCTGATCCAGCTCTTGTCTCTTGTCTATCTTTTCCTCATACCTGCTGCCATTTCTCCCTGGGATACACTGAGAGACGGACGAGTTCCCTACATTTGTTGCCTGAACAGGAGCCCCAGTGAGAGAGAATAAGTGGGCGGTGGGTACACTTCCAGAGAGCATGCACCAGGGTAAGGAAGCACATTTGTGAGAGCCAGTATTCAGCACTGGAGTGCATGATGCTGGCACATCAGGTGTAAAGCATGGGAATGGAGACTTATTAGGGCCAGAAACAGGTTCACTAGGCCCAGAAATGGGTTCACTAGGGCCAGAAATGGGTTCACTAGGGCCAGAAATGGGTTCACTAGGGCCAGAAACGGGTTCACTAGGGCCAGAGAGATAAATGAGCTTAAAGAGAGAAATAGGCTTAAAAGAAGCCAAAATGAGAATTGTATATTGAATTACGAGTAGTTAAAGTTGGAGCAGGCAGAGTTTCAAGAACCACAGATGTTTATAGATGCATATAAAAATGTTTGTTGTTTTCTTGGTTCTTATATTTACCTTTCTTTTCTGGATTGTGGTTAGAAGGGGTTTTATAACCACAAAGCATTCAGTTGAGAACTGTACTTGAAGTCAAGTCCTGAGCCCAAGCAGGACAAGGAGGGTGGAACAACGGTGCTGCTCATAGAGCTCGAACCTTCGCAAAGGGTAGGGAGGGGTTCATCTGCTTTTTCATCTGCTTGATTAGATGAAAAAGGAAAAATTTCTTTTAAATTACACCTGGCTGGTTGCAAGCGACACAGTGGCACCGCCAAGGGGAGGGGCACAAACTGGGTTCAGGGAAGGCCCCAAACTCAGGTCCTAGGCAGACCCAGCTGGGATTTCCGGCTGCCTACGCATCCACACACCTGGTCCAGCCGCAGCTGCTGGCACATGCCACCAACTACAAACATTTGCACCTGGAACCAAATGGAAGGGACATGACAGAGGCGTGCCCTGGCTGTTCCTGCTGCCACTGCCACCAGCACCAGCACCGGCACCAGCACCAGAACCAGCACGGCTGTGCACACCTTTGGCACCTGAAGTTGGGCAATCAGTGCCTGCCCTCAGAATTCGGGCAAAAAACGGGACATCCAGTGGTCAGAGCAAAAGCACCAGCGCCCCTCTCCTTTCCCTGAGGCTACAAAGGCGATAGCTCCCTGCCTCGTCCCTAGGGGAGGGGAAATGTGTGTGAGGGAGTCCATTCCTGGTACTAAGACAACTGAGCCACTGCTAGCAGCTCACCCAGCCCCAATGGAGTGGAGGCTGCAGCCAGAGTCAGGAACAAAACTTTGTTCAAATCACCCCAGACTCTCATATAGCTCAATTCATTCTTTCCTTGACAAAATTTTAAGAATTATAAATAAAATAAATTTTAAAAAGGGGGATCCAAGGATTTGGGTCTTTTGAAACCTGTGGAGTTCTTTGGGTCTTTTGAAACCTGTGGAGTTCAAAAGTAAAACTGATTACTAAAAGAAAAAAGATTTCAAAGGGCTTTTAGACACAAGTGCAGGTGACCTCCAGGTATGGTGGCTACAGGGGCACAGTCACAGGAGTGCTAAGTTGCTAACCTGGAGGGATGCAGAAGGCCATTTGGCAGGGAAAGGAGCCTCCCGGGGAACAGAGTAGGGTTTTCTATCTTTCTCCATTACAACTGACACTAAAAGAGAGGCCTTTACATTTTCCTCTTAAGGTGGTTAATTTTTTTTTGGTCTTTTTGAGACAGTGTCTTGCTGTGCAGTTCAGATTAAGGTGATCAATTTAAGAGGCTGTCTCCATCCCCAAGATAAAAACATTTTGTCTTTAGTTAAAAAAATCATATTTCCTAAGATTTACAATAATGGGGATATTTTTAAAAAATTACTTAAAGTTCTCTTGATGCCTAATAAGGTTGATAGCCTGTTTTGCAGTTGTAAATTAAGTTGTTATAAAAAAGCTTTGGTATTTTACAAATAGATATAAAAGTTTGGAGTACAGTCTAAAAGCAGTGGGGTTTAAATAGTCACTTGATTCTGACATCCATTTAAATAATGGCAGGTCTGGTGGTGGCCTCCAAAGGGTGCAAACCATGGTAACAATTTCATATTTGGGTCAACTGATCCCACAAGGATATTATTGTGCCCCAAACTGTTCAGATCAACCTTTCAAAATTTTCAGCCTTTATTTGGTAATATTAATTGGCCCCATCCAGATTTTGGGCTAATTTCTCTGATGTTATTAATTGTCATTATCCTTCAGATAAGTTAATTCAATTTGCTTCTGTTTTTACAGACGGGACATATTAGGTTAAGGGAGGCTATGTGATGGCTTCCTCTTCCAATATAAAGAATACAGGTTTCTCACCATACAATCAAAATTAAATTGCAAAAACAAAAGGGGGAAATCAACACCTCCTCCCACTTCACTTGGCAACATACACTATTAAATTTTTTAAATTTTACTAAAGATGGTAGTACAGCAGCAGAAAGACAATTCAATCAGGTAATGCCAAAAAAGCTAATTTGGAGTCCAGGATATGTTTGTGTTTTGCTAGAGCATGCTGTTTGGCTTTATCATGAATCCAGATCTCGAAAAGAAGTTGACAAGGATGAGGTTAGATTTGACTTGGGGCCTATTGAAGAAAATGACAAAATGGAAATCTAAGGTCTAAATAGGTAATAGAATATATAGAGATAATTGAGTTAAAAGTTACCAGTATTCTTATGACAGAATAAAATAAAAATATGCATATTCATTATAAATGAAAGATTCTATTCCTTCCAAAATTTTTCTGGTAAGAGATCTCTGCCAATTAACAAACAACATCTGACTAGTCTATTTATGATTACAAATATCTAGAATTGTAATAGAGTTACTATAATTCAATTTGGTAAAAAATATACTTCAGTGAACTCTGATTTTGTAAAGACTTCTGCTTGTTTGTTCTGTGTACTTGTTATTTACCTATTTGTCATTCTGTGAACAGCTATTCCCCTTTTTATTTGAGATCAAAAATTTTTCTTTTCTCATGTGTTTATAATGCAATTTGGGTTACAGACTTAAAAGCATGCTTTCACCTGAGTTGCCAGCTGGTCTAAATAATATCAAAATTAGTTTACTAACAGCTCATTAAAAAAAATTAAGGCGTTTAACCACAATTTTTTATGGTGAGAGGAGATTATTGGATAGGATTCCAATTGGTAAATAGAGGGGTGGCCAACCTTTGTTCATTAATAAGGAGCCCCCAGTGATCTTGATAGCCTCTTAGAAGTCACCCCCAATAATTTGGTCATTGGTTAAAAGACAAAGTTTTTTTTAAAAAAAATTAAATTACAATAAGGTTTTCTCATAGAAGATGTTCTTGGTACAAAACTAAATTAAGAAACAAAGGTGAGGGCAGGACTGAGCCAGAGTGGACTGAAGCAGTTAAGCTACCTCAGTCTTGAGAAAAGCGTCCTGCCTGGACAATTCAGTCATTAGTCGCTAGGCAACATTCCCTCTCCTGATGCTAACTTTACAAGAGTATAAGATAAATACTCCTATTGTTAAAGTCAGTGCTCTTGCCCGTTGGGTAAGAGGTCACCTCTGCCTGACGCAGCTCTTGTCTCTTGTCTATCTTTTCTGCATACCCTCCACTGTTCCTCCTGGGGGTACACTGAGAGACCCACGGGTTCCCTACACTTACTAAATTGCCCAGATGGGACTCAGACTTGAGGTCCTTGCCTCGGCGGACAGGCTGCACCACCACGCCCAAATTCCTTTTGTTTTGTTTGTTTTTCAGTTTTATTCTGACGCATGTACAGAGGGCTTTCTTTTATCTTAATCTGTCCTCCCTGGCATCTGCAGGGCCATCGTGCCCAGCTTTGCTCTTCCCTCATCTCTTTCTTATCTATTTGTTTTGGAATCTGCTGAGTACGTTTTATCTTCAGATTGATGTCATATATCAGCTCTGGAAAGATCGCAGCCTTTGGACTCTGGCTCCAATCAAAGGGACACTTCTTGTGGTCTCCCTTTGCAAGAGCAGCCAGAATTACTTTACCAGAAGATCCTATCAATGTGGAGAAATGACAGAGACCATCTTGATCTAAAGAAAGTATCTTTTGAAAGAGCTGGAATAACTGTACTGCTGATGTCTACCGGTGTATGGAAAGGAACAGTTAATGCTTAAATTTTTTGACGAATTTTGCATGCTTACATTTGGTAATCTGAACAACTAATTTGAAGACAACAATATGCAATATAAAACCATTGGTGGATTCTTACCATCTTGTTTAGTGAAGCTCTGTATCATTTCTAATGTTCTTTTTATTCTCTTTAATGGTTTGATAAATCTTGCATTCTTACATCTGATACTCTGAGCAACTTTGAAGATAACAATATGTAATGTAACAACCAGTGTTAATTCCCATCATTTTGTTTTGAAACCTTGTTTCATTTTTATTGTTTTTGTGTTGTTTTGGTTTTGTCAATGTTGTCGTTATTTGGACATATGTTGTTATTCTCTTTAAAATAAAAAAAGGGGGGAAAAAAGAAAGTATATTTTGGCTAATGACTTTGAGTCCTAAGTACCTGTTTAATTCTCTCTAGCAATTTCCCACAGAGTGCAGACTGTGCCAAGTCAAAAATTACCAGAAAAAAAAAAATCTGTCACAGACTCCAGTGAGTAGATCAGAGTGATCCAACCTGATTTTATTGGAGCCCTGTAGCCCTCAAAAACACTGGACATGTACATCCCACAGCCTGCTGCAGCTTCTGTGGTAGAAGCACCCTCTTTCTCGGCATTTTACATTTTGAAGAAGAAAAAGTGCAACCAGAAAGTCGGTGGAAACCCAGTGAGTAATCTAGTTGGCTCTTCTCAAATATATCAAGGCTCAGGGCCATTGCTATGTCCTATTTTTTTTTTTTTTTCCCATGACCGTGTCCTTAAAGAGGCTCCAAGAATGAAGTGAACTTTCCTAAGGGAGCAAGTCCTTTTGAGCACTCTTTCTGGACGTCTTTCTGGGCGTTTGCACACTTTACCCTGCAATACAGGAGCTGAAGGCTGAGGGATTAGCCAGTGTCCCCGGGAACAATTCAGAATGTGACCACTGCAGCAGTGAGGCAAGTGTAGCCTTGAAACTCTTGCCAGGGACTCAAGGAACTCTTGGGAAATAAGTGATAGAAGTCTTTTAGAATGACAGACCCTTCCGTAATCACTTCTCGTCTCCTTTTCTGAATCTTTGAAACTTGCAACATGAGAAGGTAAGTATGGTAGTGAAGCCTCCCTTAGAAATCCCTCTTCCTTACGACTAAGAAAGAACAGGACTCCACCAGTATCTAACTGATATATCTCTATTTTCAGAACAAATTACCCCCTACCCGAGCTTTCTGGGAGGTGCTGCGTGTGTTCTGTTTGTTCACCTATGGGGCTGTTTTTGCTTGCTGCGCTGTGCAAGTTTACATCATTGTCTTTCTGGGCGGTATCTCAAGGTCTGGTTGGTGGAGGCCTGCACTGGTTGGCTGACGTGAACTCAAGTGACACCTTGATTTAGATGCTATCAGTCATGCGGTTTCTAAGTGTTCCTCCACCTTCTCCTCCTCTACACGCCTCCCCACCCCATCACTGCTCCTTTAACAGGGCCCGGAGCAGTCCATGCAGTCACTGGACTAGACGCTCGTCCGTCCTCTGGGTGCACATGGCTGATTGAAGGTTTTACACGCAGAGAAGAACTAAGTTCAGCACTGGCTCGAGAGGTTGCTGAGACCAGCACCTTGCACCACCTCCTCGGAGCATGGACAGAAGAGGCCAAGCAAAGAGAACCAGGTAGACGATTCCTGCCACCCTGCCCCTGCTCCCCTCCGGTGCCCGGCTGCCTGCTGTTGTAAGACAAAGAGGCTGCCGAAGACGCTCAAGCTGGTGCTCAGCGCTGCCTGGTCAAGGGTGATAAATGGCACCAACAGCCCGCTGTATAAAGTGGCACTGACTTGGTGGGGTTATTTTCATGGGGAAATCGTGCAAATCTCTATCAGCTGAGCTCCTTGTACAGCTTAGGAGAGGCGCAGAGCAGGAAGGGTTCAGACAGCACAGCGAGGTCTCAGCTTGTCCCAAAGGCTCTACTGTAGCTTCTCTTCCTCCTCCTGCCGGTAGCACCCTCGTCCGGCGCCGATGCTGAAAACATGGGAAAAGGGCTAAGGAGGGAAGCAGCTTTTAACATTAACAGGCGCTGTGCCTTGGTTCTGATTTTCCACTAACTGGCTGAGAGACTTAGTGTTTTCTGAGTTTCCGTTTTGCCGGCTGTGAAATAAATGAAAATATTTCTTTTCCCTTCATCTGCGTGCCTGACACTGTGGTGAGCACTTTCGACGCTATTAATCACCCCTGCTCCCTGTAAGGAAGACTCTCTGCATGTCCTCACCTTCCGACGACGATACTGAGAATGTGAAGCACCCTAGTCATTGCCCTGGTGTCACAGGGTCGGGTGGAGAGCTGGGATTTGAACCGGGGGCCCTGTGTGTGCAGCCTTCAGCCACCGTGCTGTCCTAGCACATGGATGATGTCTCTGGTTGGCCTCAACACTGCTTTTATTTAAGTAACAAAGGAAAAGGAAGAGAGAGGAAGCAAGTCGGTCTTGTCGGTCTTTGGTTCTTTTGCTGGAGGTTAGGTTGGTGGGGAGACGGCTGGAAGGTGCGTATCCTGCTGCCGGTCCAGGCCACGCAGCGGCACCGGCTCGCGGCCCTGCCCCTCAGGAGACCGCGCCTGGCTCCCCGGGGCTGCACAGGTGGTTTCTGAGGGCCCCTGAGCCTGACACAGATTTGGATAAGCGGAAGGCAGCTCCGGCCACCAATGCCAAAGTGCCAACCCGCACAGAAGCTGACGGCTCTGGCTTCTCCACCTAATTTTGCAGCCATTAACTTTGTATTCTTTTATTAAAAATCACCCTGATTCTTGTAAATCACGTAGGCTTCAAGCCGAGCAAAACCCACGCCTCCTCCTGACTTAACACATTTTTTAAAAACCTGTGAGAGCACAAAGAATTTAAATAGATGGAAATGGGGATTCTCGACTTGAAAAATAAGGAACTGTTTTAGAGCCGGGCATGGTGGTGCACACCTGTAATTCCAGTACCCACAAGGCTGAGGCAGGAGGACTGTTGTGAGTTCAAGGCCAGCCGGGGCTACATAAAAAAAAGAGAGAGAGAGGGAGAGGAATTGTTTTATTTTTATTTATTTTTATTTATTTATATTTTTGGATTCGCTATGCAGTTCAGGTTGCCCTTGAGCTCACTTTGTAGACTAGGCTGGTCTCGAACTCACAACGGTCCTCCTGCCTCAGCCTCCCAAGTGCTGGGATTACAGGCGTGCGCCACCACGCTCGGCCCGGAATTGTTTCAAAGAAATGTTGAACTCAGTTAATTATTCCAGACTCTTCAAGAACTTGAAAACAGCGAGGCTTAGGAAAGTCACAGCTCTGTAGTTTTTTCCAGGATGTGGTAGTGCTCAAGCCTTTACAAAAAGCTGGGCGTCTGTGGGAATGTCATTCGGGCTGGCCTGTTAGTGCGGAGTCTGCCACCGATGGGACTGTACAGCTTCACGTACAAATGTTCTTTAAAGGAAAAATGACCTGGCAGTTACAAGATGAACAATTTTTGTTCAAAAATGATCTTTCCCCAAAGAATGTTTTCACTTGTGCCTAAGCTGGCTCCAAGGCTGCCATCCGCGGCCTCCACCCTGACCGTGGCTGGTGGTGATGCCGAGGAAGAAACTCAGGCTTCGCACTGTGCCACGGGCCCGTCTTCTTTAGTTTGTATTTTAAGCAGGATCTTGCGAAGTGGCTAAATGCCTGGCTGGGTTTGAATCTGCGGTGCTCCTGCCGGTTGGAGCCACCCCCATGCCCGGCGGCCCATGACCTCACCCTAAGGCGTGGGGCCTTTCTTATGTAACACAGCCCGGCCTCGAAAGAGCAAAAGAGGGCAGTCAGTGTCAGCTTGGGATGTTTACCAAGACCAGCTGACAAACCCACATGTAACAGCAAAGCAAGAGGAAAAAGAGAAAACATTTTTAAGGGCCGGGCATGGTAGTGCACGCAGGCCTGTAACCCCAGCACTCAGGAAGCTGAGGCAGGAGGATTGTTGCAAGTTTGAGGCCAG